GCTGTGATGTACCTGCACGTATCTGATGTATCGCTGTGGTGTGGCTGGTCGTATCGCTGTGGTGTGGCTGGTCGTATCGCTGTGGTGTGGCTGCACGTATTGCTGTGATGTAGCTGCATGTATCTGACGTATCGCTGTGATGTGGCTGGTCGTATTGCTGTGATGTGGCTGGTCGTATCGCTGTGGTGTGGCTGGTCGTATCGCTGTGGTGTGGCTGCACGTATTGCTGTGATGTAGCTGCACGTATCTGACGTATCGCTGTGATGTGGCTGGTCGTATCACTGTGATGTGGCTGGTCGTATCGCTGTGGTGTGGCTGGTCGTATCGCTGTGGTGTGGCTGCATGTATTGCTGTGATGTAGCTGCACGTATCTGACGTATCGCTGTGGTGTGGCTGCACGTATCGCTGTGATGTAGCTGCACGTATTGCTGTGATGTAGCTGCACGTATCTGACGTATCGCTGTGATGTGGCTGGTCGTATCGCTGTGGTGTGGCTGGTCGTATCGCTGTGATGTACCTGCACGTATTGCTGTGATGTAGCTGCACGTATCTGACGTATCGCTGTGATGTGGCTGGTCGTATCGCTGTGATGTAGCTTCACATATCGCTGTGATGTACCGGCACGTATCTGATGTATCGCTGTGGTGTGGCTGGTCGTATTGCTGTGGTGTGGCTGGTCGTATCGCTGTGGTGTGGCTGCACGTATTGCTGTGATGTAGCTGCACGTATCTGACGTATCGCTGTGATGTGGCTGGTCGTATCGCTGTGGTGTGGCTGGTCGTATCGCTGTGATGTACCTGCACGTATTGCTGTGATGTAGCTGCACGTATCTGACGTATCGCTGTGATGTGGCTGGTCGTATCGCTGTGATGTAGCTTCACGTATCGCTGTGATGTACCTGCACGTATCCGACGTATTGCTGTGGTGTGGCTGGTCGTATCGTTGTGGTGTGGCTGGTCGTATCGCTGTGGTGTGGCCGGTCGTATCGCTGTGATGTAGCTTCATGTATCGCTGTGATGTACCTGCATGTATCTGACGTATCGCTGTGGTGTGGCTGGTCGTATCGCTGTAGTGTGGCTGGTCGTATCGCTGTGGTGTGGCTGGTCGTATCGCTGTGATGTAGCTTCACATATCGCGGTGATGTACCTGCACGTATCTGACGTATCGCTGTGGTGTGGCTGGTCATATCGCTGTGATGTGGCTGGTCGTATCCCTGTGGTGTGGCTGGTCGTATCGCTGTGATGTAGCTGGTCGTATCTGACGTATCGCTGTGATGTGGCTGGTCGTATTGCTGTGATGTGGCTGGTCGTATTGCTGTGATGTGGCTGGTCGTATCGCTGTGATGTGGCTGGTCGTATCACTGTGGTGTGGCTGGTCATATCGCTGTGATGTGGCTGGTCGTATCGCCGTGATGTAGCTGCACGTATTGCTGTGATGTAGCTGGTCGTATCTGACGTATCGCTGTGGTGTGGCTGGTCGTATCGCTGTGGTGTGGCTGCACTATCGCTGTGATGTGGCTCGTCGTTTCGCTGTGGTGTTGCTGCACTATCGCTGTGATGTGGCTGGTCGTATCGCTGTGATGTAGCTTCACATATCGCGGTGATGTACCTGCACGTATCTGACGTATCGCTGTGGTGTGGCTGGTCGTATCGCTGTTATGTAGCTTCACGTATCGCTGTGATGTAGCTGCACGTATTGCTGTGATGTAGCTGGTCGTATCTGACGTATCGCTGTGGTGTTGCTGGTCGTATCGTTGTGGTGTGGCTGAACTATCACTGTGACGTGGCTGGTTGTATCGCTGTGGTGTGGCTGCACTATCGCTGTGATGTGGCTGGTCGTATCGCTGTGGTGTGGCTGCACTATCGCTGTGATGTGGCTGGTCGTATCGCTGTGATGTATCTTCACGTATTGCTGTGATGTACCTGCACGTATCTGACGTATCGCTGTGGTGTGGCTGGTCGTATTGCTGTGATGTGGCTGGTCGTATCGCTGTGGTGTGGCTGCACTATCGCTGTGATGTATCTTCACGTATTGTGGTGATGTACCTGCACGTATCTGACGTATCGCTGTGGTGTGGCTGGTCATATCGCTGTGGTGTGGCTGGTCGTATCGCTGTGATGTGGCTGGTCGTATCGCTGTAATGTAGCTGCACGTATTGCTGTGATGTAGCTGGTTGTATCTGACGTATCGTTGTGGTGTGGCTGGTCGTATCGCTGTGGTGTGGCTGCACTATCGCTGTGATGTGGCGGGTCGTATCACTGTGATGTAGCTTCACGTATCGCGGTGATGTACCTGCACGTATCTGACGTATCGCTGTGGTGTGGCTGGTCGTATCGCTGTGATGTGGCTGGTCGTATCGCTGTTATGTAGCTGGTCGTATCGCTGTTATGTAGCTTCATGTATCGCTGTGATGTAGCTGCATGTATCTGACGTATCGCTGTGGTGTGGCTGATCGTATCGTTGTGGTGTGGCTGCACTATCGCTGTGATGTGGCTGGTCGTATCGCTGTGGTGTGGCTGCACTATCGCTGTGATGTGGCTGGTCGTATCGCTGTGATGTATCTTCATGTATTGCTGTGATGTAGCTGCACGTATCAGACGTATCGCTGTGATGTGGCTGGTCGTATCGCTGTGGTGTGGCTGGTCGTACCGCTGTGGTATGGCTGGTCGTATCGCTGTGATGTGGCTGGTCGTATCGCTGTGATGTAGCTTCACGTATTGCTGTGATGGAGCTGCACGTATCTGACGTATCGCTGTGGTGTGGCTGGTCGTAATCGCTGTTGTGTGGCTGGTCGTATCGCTGTGGTGTGACTGGTCATAATCGCTGTAGTGTGGCTGGTCGTATCGCTGTGGTGTGGCTGGTCGTATAGCTGTGATGTAGCTTCACGTATTGCTGCGATGTAGCTGCATGTATCTGACGAATCGCTGTGGTGTGGCTGGTCGTATCGCTGTGATGTAGCTTCACGTATCGCAGTGATGTACCTGCACGTATCTGACGTATCGCTGTGGTGTGGCTGGTCGTATCGCTGTGATGTAGCTGCACGTATTGCTGTGATGTAGCTGGTCGTATCTGACGTATCGCTGTGGTGTGGCTGGTCGTATCGCTGTTGTGTGGCTGGTCGTATCGCTGTGGTGTGACTGGTCGTAATCGCTGTAGTGTGGCTGGTCGTATCGCTGTGGTGTGGCTGGTCGTATAGCTGTGATGTAGCTTCACGTATTGCTGCGATGTAGCTGCATGTATCTGACGTATCCTGTGGTGTGGCTGGTCGTATCGCTGTGATGTAGCTTCACGTATCGCGGTGATGTACCTGCACGTATCTGACGTATCGCTGTGATGTGGCTGGTCGTATCGCTGTGATGTAGCTGCACGTATTGCTGTGATGTAGCTGGTCATATCTGACGTATCGCTGTGGTGTGGCTGGTCGTATCGCTGTGGTGTGGCTGCACTATCGCTGTGA